CTTTTCCTGATTTCCCTTTCAGCCGGAAGTTAGTGTATACCATACTGTGATGCTGATAATGGCTGTCAAATCCCTGAAACTGACGGGTCAATAGTTTAAGATTTTTGGTTAAAATCTGGGTTTGGTTCTAAGTTTATCCAGTTCATACTGGGTTAACATGAATAACAGTAGTAAACAAACATTTCATTTTATTCTTATTCTTGGTATGGTTAGGGAATTATATTAGCGAAATAGCGTTTATTATTTTAGGCATTGTATTTTTTATAAAAGAGAACGGAATATTTTTACTTTTGTTAATCTCGTTAATCAAAACTTCGTGGCATAATTTACAAAATTGAACCTGTGAAATCAAATGTTACCCATGTCAGTAATCTCAAAGTAACTTTTTTGAACTTTAAAAATCAATTTATGTAATAGCTGTTTTTTTCACAAACAAATCTGTTTCGTTTATTTTATCCTTGATTCAATGTTTTTTAAAAGAATAAATAATTAAAATTCAGTGACAAAGTATGATGAATTAGTTGACTCATTTCCTATGTCTTCTTATACAAAGATTTTTATTTTATTCTAAACAAACAATAACTGTAATTTAAATTATGACATTTCAAAATGTAAATAAAGCATAACATTGTCTTTTGGGCGTACTTTCATTGTTCAATCATTATATTGAATTGTCAAATCTGTTCAATTCATATGTATCGAGTGGATTTGTTTGAACTAAAAAAAACCAGTCAGTATGACAAAGTATTATTAAATGAATGATTGAAAAAAGATTATTATTTTTTTGTTTCTAAAAGACAATTAAGTAATCTCATCATCCATCATTCTATTTTTCAGTAGTTTTACTTTCATCAGTAGTCTTCATTAAAGCTGACGAAAACTGGAAGTCAATTAAAAACAAATAAGTTTAGTTTAGGAGTACCAAAGTTTGCACAGACATAATCATTCATCAAAATAAAAACAAGAATATAATTGAACATTGAATTACTTATTGATTTTACGATTGTATGATCAATGAGTTAAGTATTTTTAAAATATTCCCTTAATGCACTAATAATCCAATGTGTTTAACTCACATTCATGCATGAACACTGACACACACATACACACACACACACACTTAAACATGCATATTTCTTAATAAATGCTACAGGCATATACGTGTATTGACTAAGTTCATTAATAGGAAAAAATAATCATAATTTGTAGTTGTGTATTGTTTTTAAATCTTACACTTGATTAGATTTCGATAACTTTTTTGGTTTAGTTCAATTATTTTGTTATGAAAATAACTATTGGTCAAATGATTTAAAGTGATTTTTTTTAAAAAAATAAAGCAATAAATAATGTAGATAAATAAACACATGAGAACATATTTTAGTATTAACTAAAGTCAAAACAATATGCTTAATTCTAATCTGAAAACTATTCATTACTAAGTAATGAATTCCATAGAAAAAATATTTTTTCTTCTTCAATAAATAATCAAAATTCACATTACTAATGCGGTATCATAATATTTAAATTTTAAACAAACAAATTTCTTTTTCCAAATCCATCATCAAACTAACCAACAAAGATGTCTGCTACACATCCATAATAAACTATCCAAACACTTTCACTATTAATCATCGATTACTCATTTTTTTTCAAAATTTAATCCGCTCATTAGTAGAAAAGATCAACATCCAATTCACCATGGGGAGTCTGTCTAATCAATAAATAAATATGTGCACATGTCAAAATAAAAAGCATCGCTTAATGAAAACAAGAATCATGTTTTTCGTCTATTTTTTTTGCAGATTATTTCTCCTTCTCTTACTTAAATTCTGTTTCTCTGCCCCTATCTAACACTTTAGTCATTGTGTCGTTATTATTCTTTTAAGGTTTATTTCTTCATTGTTTTTTTTTGTGTGTTGAGCAATGATCGGAACTAGATGTTTGATTGCATTCCATTACAAAAGGGATAATAATAATAAGGGTTCAAATATTTCTTTTTTTTCCATGTGATTTTTACCCGGAAGGCATTTTAAACTATTGAAACTTAAATATATTATTTAAGTTGAAATGATGTAATAAAAGTGTTGTTTTTTTTCTTAACAACAAACAACAGAATTGAAGATGATGAAATTTGTAAGCAATGAATTTGAAAGTGAGAGTAATGAAAAAGGAGGATTGAATGCACTAATCGAAATGAATTGAGGTGTCTATGATGATAGAAATTTTTTCGTGTGTAATACAGTTGTTGATTTTATTGAGATGCTTTTACATTGATATTATTATTATTATTATTATTATTATTATTATTAATATTGTTATCGTACATGTGATACAAATGTGTACAAGTCAAATAAACAATTCAGAGAGCTTATTTAGCATTATTTAAAAAAAATAGCAGCTAGATATTATAGGTATACATAATTAATTGTATCCGGACAGTGAATTTAAAACGATAAATATGACAGGATTCAAAATGTCAAGTTCGTTTTACCGTTCTACAGTTCAAGGTCAGTAGATTCATAAGTAAACAAACGAACAGACATTATAGATGTCTAAGTGGATTACAAGTTAAGCGTTGAGAATGCAAATGAACTGTATTTGTCTAAAAGTCAATTTTTTTCGTAATAAGTCAATGAATTCATTAGTGCAGACTATTATATAATATTTAACTATTAGAAATTATGTTGCTACAATTTTGGAGTCAGTCGGTTAGTAAGTTAGTCAAAATTTCGACTAAAATAACATTTATTCATAAAACTAAATTTTTTGGGCTGTCGAGAAATTCTGACATCAACATTTATACTTGTATTAGTAGTTTGTGAAGACTGCTGAATTTAGTTTTTTAAAAGTCATACACTTTTCATAGATAAACATCGGAAGCCTGAGAGTATTGGAGTGCTGTGTTTTTTTTACTATGGGGTTTCCCACAACCTCAAAATCAAACCCATAACATTCAGACTTGACGGAAAGAGTTTTATGGTTCTTATTGGTTGTTTGACCAATTCTAGTTTGCACTGTTAATCATGAAAAACTAATAGTTTTGCATTATGTGATGAAATCGTATCACCACTTTGATCTTATGTTACATGATTATATAAGAAACTGGAAAACAGTTAGATCATTTCTTTTCTTTAAATGGAAAACTTAAGGAACTAATAAGAAAACGAAACATTTACAAAAGGGATCTGTGGATTTGAACTTTCACATCGAATTTTCAAACACCGAATCTTGTATATTAGTTTGACATAAGAATTATGTCACGCATAGAGATGGTTCATTTTAAAATGGATGCAGATAATATTATATTTAAGTCATTTTAATACTACAATGTTTTAAAAATTCATCAGAAAAAGTATGCAATAATGAGTCAAAAAATAATATATTTATTTTAATTATCAGTAACCTTATCGGTTGATACTGAAAATAATTGATTAATTTGTAGCTCAATTAATTCCTTAAAGGTGATTTCTACCATAATGAGATTGCACCAAAATCTCCATCACGAGTTATAAAGAATTATTGAGCGATTGAGCTGTTCAGATCTGTCCACTCATTTCTATTATAAATGTTAATCATAACAATGCACTTAAAATATATGATCATTTAGACTCATGTTTGAACTTTAATATGCACACTACATAATCATATATTAGTAAATGTGTTTTGATTGAATCGATTTTGATAACTAATCAAAGTTTCAATAGTTGTTTTAATTTTATTGAATTTGATTGACAATTATTTGTTATTCGCTGCCAGAATCACCTTTTTTTTGAAAAGCTGTATAGACAACCAATGAGAATATTTGAAATAATACCACTAAAACCATAAACATTCAAACATTGTTGTCTGAAACGTCGTAAGCTAAATCATCTCGTTTAAATTAGGTCACAAATAGAATGAAAATTATGCAGAAAAAGTTTATTTCATGTTAAATTGTCTATCTAAAACGTAAAAATAAAGTAAATGAGTAATATTCTATAGTTTAAATTACAGTCTAATCTTAGATAAACAACCATTGAATACCAAGAAGCAGTAAACAGTTGTTTCGTCTTAGTAGTGAACTCCTCAGCATTTCAGATCCATAACCTTATCAAAGATCAAACCTAAAACTTTTCAGGTCTCACAAAGAGTTTTTAATCTTTAGGCCACATCAATATTAATTATGTGCTTACTATTAGCATGAAACAGTTTGAGAATTTTCAAAAACTACCATGCTGCTCGAAACATTGGTGTTAGTGCAATATGAAACTATTAAACATGAATTTGTTTGATTAGTTTGTGGATAACAATCAATGTTACTGTATTCAGAACATAACCTATGAGGAGGGAATAGATTTAATCTAACGACTGTCTCATATCACTAGTGGCAACTCTTTCATTCTCGATAAGTCTGAACATCCCTAGTTAAGAATTCTCACTATAAATTCAGGAATATTTGGAAGTGATGATCACTAATGAATGGACTATCATTAGTTTAATTCAAGCGGTTTCGAGAAGATAAATTCGATTAGCAGATTCTATTCGTTACGTATTGCTTAATAGTCATTTATTTCTAGAAATGATCCTCGGAATTCTACTGGGAATCTGTGGCCTGAGAAGTCAAACCATACTGAATGTGAGACAGTCACCCAGTATCCTGCAAAATCACTAAATGATTGAAGTTAGCAATACAATCCATTCGGTATTAGCTCAGTAGTCTGAAGTTTAAGTGCTCGCTGAAAAATCTGAAGTAGCTGGGTTCATCTGTCGGTAGATTCATAAGTGCATACTGCCACGGAGTCCCATATCAAAAGGTAACAGATGCCCAGTGCTTAACAGTTTTTGATGACTATCTAATTCAGCTCAGTTCGTATTGTGAACAATGGATTTTAGCATTCTTTATACATCTCTTATAGCTAAAAATAATGTTTGATGTCCGTTTATTTTTTTCTATTTTTAACTCTTTCCATGATTTCAAGTACCTTTAGCATGTGATTCTTTTGCGAAATTTTTTTCTACAGAATTTTCGGATTATTTAAATCTAGACCAGTTTGCACACAATGTAAACAATTAATCAATTCAAATGAATTAATAGTACGATCAATAAATCAATTGGTATTTCATTCTAATTGCTTTTGCTGCAATATATGTCATCGTATAATGAAATGTGGTGATCGATATGAATTGGACAATGTCAGTCATCAACCAATATGTTGGGAACACTACCAGCAATCTCATCACCATCATCATCATCATCATCAACTGGACTCATTTCGTAGTTGTACGGATCGATGTGAGGGTATTAAATGTACAGGAGAAAATGATCATAGAGATGTGGAAAAACTAAAAGAACTGAGTAGCCAGATTTATCCAGCTGGCGAAAATACGGATGTGAACCTAACCCATGCTAATGATATTCTTCCGATTCGTAATTCCGACCCTGAGGTGGAGGACCTACCGACAGAATCCTGCGCTCGAATAGGTATCCCAGAACCTGGTAATAAATTGAATTTCACTGATTACGGGGCAAAACAACACCGATTAAAATCTTCAGATAATAGCCTTATTGATAAACAATTGTATACCGATGAAAAAAATAGTAAATTTAGTTCATGTTTCATTCCATTGATTGGTAATGACAGTTCAACTGTTGAATTAATGCCTAGTTATTTATCCCATAAACCGATGAATTATATGCCACCATTATCCCATCATTTATTACAAGATAATTCATCATATTTATCGTGTAATGTTTTCAATCCACCGTTATGTAAACTAGGTAGTGTTTCTTCAGATGAGAAGTCATTATCTTTACATGAGACTTCATCCACTTCTTGTCCTCTATCATCTTCATATTCACCTTCTGTTATTCCCCGTTGCACATCTTTAAAGACATTATCTTCATATCCTTCTTTCACACATTGTGGCATACCACTTACTTCAGCTAGTACACCTACTTTCTCTAATGCTTCAACACCCCACATGTCACTTCAACCACATTCTTCATCCTCAATATCCTCATCATCTCCACCTTCATCAGGAACCAGATTTATGCATAAACACTTGGATATTTCTCCATTGAATTATTCATCGCTATTATCTAATAGTAATTCTTCAACATTAATTGATTTTATAGATTCAAAAAACCCATCAGAATTTAATAAAACAATTGATTCAAATTTGTTAATTCAACATGTACACCAACAAAAACGAAATCGTAAACGACGAAGTGGTTTACATCAAGTTTTCGGTAAGGTTGAACATTAACTCATGTATTAATAATCAATTTTAGAATAAAGAATAACAAACTGTCTTGATCTGAATTACTGATTTTTTTTCAGAGTAACGTTTAATCTATGCATAAATTAATAGCAAATTCAAGATCTTAACATAGGCGGTCTTGCATACTGATTACTTCCGCCATGGAAACGATTAAAGGTGTTCAATAAATGAATATTATGATAGTTTATTAGCGAGAAATAATTTAGTATAAAATGTAATAAATAAGTATTGTGAATATTTGAATGACAAGTTAATTAATGATCATCCTTCGAGAGTATGCCGATGTCAGAGTTTGAAAAGTAACATCAGTTGTAAATTAATCATCATATGATTATGGATTGTAGGATAAACTTCGGAAAATTATATACTTTGGAAAACTCGAAATAATTTAAGACTGATGTTGAACATTGAACATCAGAACCTTTGGAATACCTTAGAAGGGATTTTTTAAAACAAACGAAATAAATTTGTAGTGCTTTTTTTGTATCAACTTGCAATTGACTTACAATTGACTGGGTTTTCTATCCCACAATAAACCAATTTCACTGAAAGCACAAAGTTTCTCTAGTTAGGTGATTTAATAAACTGGTAAATGAAACTTGTTTTCATTAATCAAAACTATCTTAATTCACCCACCATAGATTCATTTTATAAGATTTTGATCACTTTAGATATAATTTTATGAACGCATATAGTTATACAAGTCAAAATTGTTATATAATCTGTAGAAAAGTTACTTAACAGCTAAATTTACAAAACACTAACAGGATATATTGATGGAAGGCTATGAGACTAATTTAGAGTTTATAGGGATTCATTATAAAGGTGCGACGTTTGATCTTCATTTCCTCGCCTCTACGGGTATAGATGTAGGAATTGAAGCATTCTGTTGTTAGTGATTTAACAATTGATCATGTATCCAAAAATGACATTTTGTAATTTTTGATAATATTGTGATAACTTGTGGATTAGTTTTTGGTACACAAATAAATCCCCATATTTAGTTTGTACTTCTCGACATAGATGCATAACAGTCTTGTTCCATTGTAACATGTGGGAATGAGCCATTGTTCAGCAGTTATAACAAGTATTTGTATTTGTATTTGTATCTTGTCAAGTTATTAGCAAAGGTGGGGATAGTGGTTAGCAACAGAACCTAGGACGAGCATTTCTTATTACTTAGGAGTCATCAGCTGGATGTATCTGCATTCTAGAGTTGATGTTCCACTGCTAGCCGCTATCCATCCACCCAATGGCTATACAGAAGCGATCTGCACAGGATGTACATTTGCCAGACGAGACTGATCATCTGCAGACCTAACCAGCAACGGGAAGGTTCAGACTATCAAACAATGTTATGGTTATCATTAAGCCATTCATCTGTGGAACATTACAGCTTAAGCACGATAGACAAGCAGTTAAACTTCATTCTGCTTATCAAAAAACTATCACTTTCATTATTTGAACAAAATTATACAAAAATTTATAGAATTTGTATTTTGATTGCATTTCAAATGAATGACATATTTCTAACTTTTATTCTACTAGTCATTATTATTATTATTATTATTATTATTATTAATATTTTAAACATAGAGAATGACTGTTTCAACAATGGAACAAATTTTTATCTAGGCATTACTGCCAGACAAAAGCGTATGCGTACATCTTTTAAACATCATCAGTTGAGAACAATGAAAGCATATTTCAATATAAATCATAATCCTGATGTTAAAGATTTAAAAGTATTGACAGAGAAGACAGGATTGTCAAAACGTGTTCTACAAGTAGGTTAAACTATTTTATCTACCTTATTTCATCATCATACTTTTTTTAATGCTAATAGGTGTTTCTTGAGCTGAGTCTTAATTTTTTTTCAAGTTAAATATAGTGGAAGGAGTTATAAATTATTATTGTATACTGGGTGTACCAGGTAACGTACATACTGTAAAGCATCCTGAACACGAACAGATATGATTATTAGTTATCTATATCATGTTAAACAAATGATTGATCCGATGTTGATAAGTTCATTCTGTAGTTTACTTCTAGCAAAATAAAATTGGACAATGAAATTTAAAAAAGAAATATATCAAAATAAAGTACATAAGTTTGTTCAACTGGGTCTCATCTAGTTTACAGTTCCCTACAATCCTTATAATTAGAAGTAGCTTTGTTTTTATATTATTTTATAAAACAGCCCTTGATTTCTTAAGCTTTCATTATCTTACGTCTAAAAGCGATGGGGCAATAATTTATAGATGAAATAATCAGATAAAAAGATACTGACTCTTAAATTCTAGCGCAAAATTCATTTATCCATATAACTGTATAACATTTTACTATTAATACTGATGTAAATTTGTGAAAAAAACTCTAACTCCCATTCCTAACCCTGACTTCTTATTTCATCTACTAATATTCATTTCCTAAATAAGTTATAATCTCATTTTGACCATAGAGATTGGTTGAAGTTTCTCAAGGCTATTGTATTATCGCTAAACGTTCACCCATAAATTAAAGTTTTAACATCAGCCGGACAAGAGCAGAGAAAGTCAAGGCAGAATCTAAACACACAGAACCAAACAAGCAAGTGAAGAGCAGTATCACAGCTGACAAACGTAAACATGTGGAAGATCGAGCAATGAAGGCGGAAAAGGCTGCAAGAGAAGGAAACTTGAGACCGTTGTACGGTACGACAAAGAAGCTCTCTGGAAACTATCGTAAACCGAAACGAACAGTAAAAAGTAAGGAAGGCAAAGTAATCAACAACACTGTAGAACAGAGAAATAGGTGGTTAGAGCACTTTAATGAACTTTTGAATCGATCAGCCCCTCAGAACCCACTCAACATCGAATCATTATCCACGGACCACCCAACGATGTTGGCCCACCAGCAACTGAAGTGATTAGTATAGCTATCAGACAAATCAAATAAGCCAAAGCAGCAGGATAGCATTCCAGCAGAGGCAATGCATGCAGACGTGGTGGCAACTTCAAAAATATTCCACACTCTCTTCAACAAGATTTTTTGTGATGAAGAACAAGTACCAACAAACTGGAAAGAAGAACACCAAATCAAAATATCAAGGAAAGGCAATCTTAAAAAGTGTGAGAACTACAGAGGCATCACCCATCTCTCAATGCCAGGAAAAGTCTTCAAAAGGATGTTGTAAAACAGAATGAAAGACTGCGTAGACTCCCAACTTCGAGATCAACAGACTGGACTTTGTAAGGATCGATCGTGTAATGACCAAATTGCAACATTACGGATCATCGTGGAACGATCAACTGAATGGAACTCACCACCATTGACTACGAGAAAGCATTCGATGGTGTGGATAGGAAAACACTATGGAGGCTTCTTTCACGCTACGGCGGGTCTGAGGAGATAGTCAACATCATACGGAATTCGTACGATGGATTAGACTGCAACGTCGTGAACGGAGGATAGCTGACAGACTCGTTCAAAGTAAAGACCGGAGTCAAGCAAGGTTTCGTACCCACACCCTTGCTCTTTATCCTCGGGATCGACTGGATTGTGAAGACTTTAACATCTACTGGGAAATACGGGATACAGTGGACAGTCAAGATGCAGCTGGATGATTCGAACTTCGCAGATGATCTGGCTCTTCTATCCCACAAGCGATAACAAATGCAAGAGAAGACAACTAGTGTAGAAGCAGCCTCAGCAACAACTGCAGGTCTCAACATACGTAAAGGGGAAAGCAAGATTCTCCGATACAACACAACATGCACCAACCAAATCACTTTTGATGGAGATGCTTTGGTGGACGTAAAATCCTTAACATATGTGGGCAGCATAGTTGAAAATCAAGCCGGATCCGATGCAAATGTGAGGGTGCGGATCAGCAAAGCGGGGGCTGCATCTCTACAATTGAACATCTGGAACTCAAAGTAACTATCAAAAAGTACCAAAGTCACAATCCCCAATTCTTGTGTCAATACAGTCCTACTGTATGGGGCGGAAACATGGAGAACTACCAAAGCCATCATCCAGAATATAAAAGTATATATTAACAGTTGTCTACGCAAAATACTTCAGATCCGTTGGCCAGACACTATCAGCAACAACCTACTGTGGGAGAGAACAAACCAGATCCCAGTGGATGAAGAAATCAGGAAGAGGCGTTGGAAGTGGTAGGACACACGTTGCGGAAGGCACCGAACGTCGTCACAAGACAAGCCCTCACTTGAAACCCTCAAGGTCAATGGCGGAGAAATGTGGACAGACATGACAAGAATGAACAAAAATTGGACAGAACTGGGAAGGGAAGCCCAGGACAGAGTAGGTTGGGGAATGCTGGTCGGCGGCCTATGTTCCATTGTGGGTAACATGCATAAATAAGTAAGTCAGTTCTATAAGAATATTCTCAGAGAAGTCAATTTTGACGTGTTTATCTAAATATATGTTTACATATAAATTTGCGGTAAACATCTTTTTTGTTACATTATCAAAATAAATAATTTAAATTAGATTCAAATTGACCAATAGAAAATATTGATTATAATGCATTTGTAAACTATAACAAAGTATTGTTTATTTATCCTTTTTCAAAACAAATTTATTGACTGAATTAATCTCGGAAAGACAAGACAGCAAAATTTTAAGTTATTGACTAATTGTCAGGTTGGAAGATTATAAATAAATACTTTGGAATCAATAGTATATTATATGAATAGTAAATAACAAACATTACGACAAAACACTTTACATTAAAAGTCATGATATGTATAGTCATGTTTTGTGTAGTTAATTCGATTTGAAAGCAAAAGTCTATTGGAAAATTTTAAAGCAAAACGACTTCAGTATGTTGTTAAGGGATACAATTCTTTTGTGCAAGTCTTCTCCCTGAATTTTACCAAACATTAACTGGGTTCTCATTTTTTTTAAAAATCGAATTTAGGTTTGGTTTCAAAATGCTCGAGCAAAATATCGACGTAATTTAGTGCGTCAAGAGAATGCTCCAACATCTGTAAATAATAATAATCAGATCAGTAACAGTTTAACAAGCGGTTTAATCACATCTTCTAATGGTGGTTCTTCAGAAATAATAGTCAACTCAATTTCAGAATGTGACAGTCAGTCTAGCCAAATCAATCCAGATGAATTTACTATAAGTCAGACGACACCATCATCAACATCACCACATAAAGACGATCTGGTACAAGATGATGATGATGACGATGACAACATGGACAATGAAGATGACGATGAAGAAGGGGACGCTATTAGTCATATTGATCATAAACTAGAACAGAACAAAATAATGGATGTTTTAAACAAGACTGATTGTCAAACAAACACAAACATACAATCAAAACAGTGTGAAAATTCTGATTTAATTGATTTTGACGATAATCCTAATTACCTCCATTTTCATGATCGTCATCTGATGAATGATTTGCACAAATTAACTTCACACAATGAACAAAAACCACCGATACAACAGCAACAATCATCGATCGATTTCGCATCATGCAACATGTCGGTTAATTCATTCACATTAAATTCTGCCTATAATACAGATCATCTGTTGATGTCACAAAACAATAATAATAATAATAATGATAAGAGTAATTATAATTTACTGCATACAAATAAAATATATCTTGAAAATGAACATCAGCTAACTACAAATATGACCAACTATACAGATAAATTGAATAATTTTGTTTTACCAAATAAATGTCGTACAGTTAACCGTTTCACATTAACTGGTATTCATTAATCATATACCTTTTTGATGTATACTTTATTAATTCATAAGTAAAATTATCGAAATTGATAAATAGTGACAATTTTTCTATTTAGTTAAAAATATATATATATATATATATGTGTGTAAAGATTGATCATTTAACTATTTAATTTCAAATGTGTTTTTCTTTTTTTTTGAAATCTTCACTGTTTTACTTGTTATGATATAATTGTATGATATACTATTTATTTAAAATTCTCATTTCTATGTGCCTCTAAATCATGAAGAATAAAATTTGTAACAAACAATCATGATTCTTACATGATAACTAATCATTATAATCGATATTCAATGCAAAACAATGATTGATTTCGTTAAATATTTCAAGATTCTTCTTTTATGTTATTGACTTAAGTAACTTTTATTTTTTATTTTTCAATAGAAGAGGATGATTATATTCGCTAACAATTAAAGATGAAATAAATAGTATTCATTAGTGTCATTTATTTGTTGAATATTTTAAATTGTAATTATTGATTGTTTGAATAAGGTGAATATGATTTTTCCGGGTTTCTTTTTTGCGTTTCAAATTAATGATACATTTACATTGTATAGATAAATCAAATTCATTAAATCAGTAAATATTTTGATAAGTTTTTTCATTTTAAATCTCTTATAATCATTCAATCAATCAATCAATCGGATATTGATGGGGCTTAACTTTTAAAGTAGTTAGCTACAGGTTGACTATAAATTCAATCGAAATAAATTCCGTTTAGATTTTAGACTATACTTTCGATGAGTAAACGACTCATCTTTACTCTTCTCTTGTTGATTGTAGTGCGAACAGCTTTGCGATTGTTCCTAAACTTAGTACAGCAGTAGTCTACCGGATAAACGGTATTATCATAATTCTCATCAAGTGTATTTTTCTAAAAAGGTGAAAAAAGTAGTAAACAAAATATTATTTCGACAGAATTGATCAAATTATGTGACCAGGAAGCATACAAAGAGAGAACTGATTTAGTGAATATAACACGCAAATATATATGATAGTGCTAATAAGTTATCAAGAGTTTAAAGCAGTTAATCTTTAAGTATAATGATATATATATATATATATATATATATATATATATATCATTACGGACAAAAATAATAGTTTATCTGTAAAATCAGTCAGTACAAAGAATCAACTGATCCAAAGAATTACAAGATTGTATGAGGGTAAGGGAATTATAAGTTTTCAATGACTAAAATAATCATTTTCTGATGGAGTTTGAACAGCTCGTAGTATTTGTTTTCAATTTATGAATACTGAATAAGTTTTCGTGCAGAAAAAGGAACAGATAAACCAGACAGTGGTGATATGAAGTGATCAGTTAGCATTCATGTTCAACAAGGACTTAGTAATTTATTAATGATAATCAGTTACAGCTTTTTCTTTACTATTAAGTTAACTCTAAAGTTAATTTTATGTAGTACAGTGACTCCTTTTCTCTCTTGTGTCTAAATATAGGCGAGCACAGTTAGTCTAAAACAAACAAATTCTGCAAAATTGGCAGCTGCATCTAATACAAAGAGTAAAACGTAGTGGCTACCATCTATTTTCTGTCAACCAAATGATTTATTTATATGCTTCAAAACTGTATCTGTACATACCACTAAAACTAACTGAAGATTGTTTTCGAATATTCTTTCATAATGTCATAGATTCAACCTACAAAATTTATGGGAGCTAAAACCCTGAAGATTATCAAACTAGGTAATCAATGTGGATGATCGAAGCTTGCTCGAGTTGAATGAAAATAATGCTACCTCCTAGCTTACGTCAAAGTCAACCCACCAGGCTAGTACCTAACATAGACTACCCTTCTATGATATCCAGGTACTGTAACTACTTTGATTATGGTATAGAACAAGCATGAAGTTACTGAAGGGATTTAGGAGTAAAAACTAAGTTGGAGAAACAGAGTAAAACCACTGCCGTATAGGCTAATCCATGATGTACACTCGACTGATGTGTGTTGGTTGATTTAGAGATTTGGTTAGGGCTCAGTGATAATTTACTGACCCTATATAAGTTTTTAGTGCCAAATTGAACAACCTCATCCGATGATCCACAATGGCGACCTATCATCCTTACTTCATTGAAGTGCTTAGAGGTTTATTGTACAGATTGTTTGAAAAACAAATTCAACAGACGCTTAGTCATCTTATTTTTACCCAACTACCAGTGTTTCTAGTATCGGACTTACATCTAAGAGTACGTGTTAGTTTTGAATACCTAAGAGAAAGAAGATAACCTAGTCTTAGATAAGACTAATTCTATGGATTTTTATATTACTTGTTCCATTCATCAAATTGTTAATCCAGTTTCAGGGGATTATGTTAAGATTACGTTAAATCTGCACAATGACTAAGACTAGATCTGTTAAAAACTTTAGTTATTCATCCGTTACTGAAGCTCATTTCAATAAGAATAAAATGTTTTTCCCCCGAATATGAGCACTCTCTTCTCCATTAATAAAAACAATTTTTCGTTATCTTTCGTTCAAAAATATAATTTATGTAAAAAATGAAATCATTGCTTAGGATTGTGTAAAGATGCAAATCAAATGTCATTAATTAATGCAGTAATTGCCCACAGTATTCACAGTAATTACTTAAATTCATCTCGATAGCACAAGTCTACAGCTAACATTTAATATAGTAACAACAAGTGAGAATGTATTCTTAAGTATACTACTTCTAATGGTATTTTTCATACTGTAATCTTGATACAGTGAAACCAGAAAATTTGAAGTAAAGGCATAAAATCATTTCATCTTTCGTGATTTGTTTCCAATAGAATCGGAAACCATACATAAAGCCTGTTTATTATCAAAAGTGGCAAATTCTACCGAAAAATGAAAATCATAATCTACGTTGAAGAAAAGTCTAAGAGTTCTTTAAGGTTCTTTTCCTAATCCCAGTATTCATGGATATTTAACTGTCTTAGAAGTTTTTATCACAACAATGAGGAATTCTGTTGCTTGGTTAACCTTGGCATACAATTTATTAATGAATAAACTGATTAATACAGCGTTTGAAATCGTCTGACTTCGATATGTTGTGACTACAGAGACATTAAATGTGATAGTTTTTATCTCACAGATGGGTAAACGCATAGGATGCACCTTATATCCGGCAAAAAGTATCTTCAAAGTCAGAGCTGATAGGAATACGTTGTGTTCACTTAAGTAGATAAAGTGGTGGGAACGATGGAAAGTGACCAAATTTCATTTAAAAGGAGTATGCCATTATCAATTTCTGATAACATGAATTCAACCAACCAAAATAGAAAGTTTGAAATGATCAAAGTATTCCTATTTTTCTTTAAAAGGTTAATGGAAGATTTGAAACTAATAAGATAGACATTACTAATGGTCTGTTCGAACTCATTGCATCTAATGTGTTATGTCTACATTATATGGAGTGTTACAAAAAGAGTTTTTTACTCAGTACATAGAAGTATATTCGAAACTACAGCGACAAACCAATTGTTAAACATCATTCCATATATATTTGTATATTAGACAGAGGTTAATACGAAAATTCTTACCCTAAAAAATTCATCTTTATAGTCAAGTAGATTAACATTTTGTTTAAAGATCGTAATTTTATAGAGCAAGGGAACAATGCATGTACACATTGTAGGTTACAAGAATAAATCAAGTATTTTAATTTTTAAATCATTTTTAATAAATTATATAATGTAGTTGTGTATAAACGAGTAATTTCAGAATAAGAACATTACTTTTTACTCATTATTCATGACATTGTAGAAAAGTTTAAATGTTTAGCAATTAAGTTCATTGTATATTCTCTACTACGAACTATTTGATGCGAACAACAACCAAAGTAACTGTATTCGGATAAATACAAGCGACAATTAAAGGAGAGAGAAATTTGAGAAAGTCACTGAAAACTCTTAATATGTAGACTTTTTGGGAAAACATTTCTTTGTATAAGAGAGCAACGATATACTTATAGAGATGTATCATTTGAAACGGAGTTCTACTTTTTCACAAGCTATCAACCCAGAAATATGGAGCATAAGTTTTATTTTGTTTAGAGAGAGAGAAATTGTTAAAAAGTATATAAATAGTTAAGAAACACACAACAAATAAATCGTTGGACTTTATTTATTGTAAAGATTTGATATTGAATCTGCAATTGAAAAAAAATTCCACAAATGTTTTCATTTTAAATACACATCATGTCCAATTCAAACAAAGATAACAACAATGTGAAGATTACTGTAAATTAATCAAGTTACTTCACTCAACATTAAAGGATTAGACAAATATGACACTGGTCGTTTATTGATGAAAGTAATTCATATTGTTGGCAAACTGAATTGATAATTTTCTCTATTGCTATTCTTCGAGATAATGATACACTAACATCAGCGAATCGACAATAAAGGTAATTAAATTAAACTTGTGTATAAATATTACTGGTAGTGTAATTCAAATAGCAGATTTCAGTGTCAAAAGAACTTATCTCGGTTTTGATCTCACTCAACTTTTCTGATTGATAGATTATATATATATATATATATATATATATATATATATATATATATATATATATATATATTTACTTCTCGGAAGATCCCTAAAAACCACTATAATACTCCTAACTAACAATTTACAATTGTCTAATGCTTTATTAATGCTTACCAAACAAACTATAATCCCATTTTTTCTATTTGTAAATAAAAATTAATTAATACATAAACAGAAGTAAACTCTCAATGCACCTGAATAGAATAAAATTGTAACAGTTTCAGAACATTTTCTGTGTACGTACAAGTATTTACATTTTAGCCTAACTCACTTTGTATTTTGTACAGTATATATATATAGCAGAAGGGAATAAAAGCGATACAACTACTGATAATTATGTTGTGTACATATATGTAGGTAGATTTATATTATCTGTTCTGTTAATGATTTCTATGTTCGGGTTATAAGTAGGACATA